GTAATCAGTCCCATCTACTCGACAAACCTCTACTAGTGAGAACGGCTGGGTTTGAGAAGGACCTGCCCTCCCAAATCAACCTACGTCTCACCTCCTGGCACTATATAAGGCCCGATTCTGTCACTTCAACTTCATATTGTTTCAGACAACGGAACAATGCTCTTCTCCAGACTGAGGGACTGACCACCTCAAAACTTTAAGGGTGATGGACTGATTACATCGTCTTCAAGTATCTTCTGCTTCTATCAACTTTTTCTGTACTCGACTGAAGAAGCCTACTGTGTAGGCGAAACGTTTCAAAATAAAGATACCTAACTGTTGCATATGTGTCTTACCTAACAATCTGTCGGTATTTTATACCATTTTAATGTTCATTCTGTCAGACACTGCAACACAAGGGTATCTTGGTACAGACCATCTACTTCGACAACCTCTACTAGTGAGAACGGCTGGGTTTGAGAAGGACCTGCCCTCCCAAATCAACCTACGTCTCACCTCCTGGCACTATATAAGGCCCGATTCTGTCACTTCAACTTCATATTGTTTCAGACAACGGAACAATGCTCTTCTCCAGACTGAGGGACTGACCACCTCAAAACTTTAAGGATGATTGACTGATTACATCGTCTTCAAGTATCTTCTGCTTCTATCAACTTTTCTGTACTCGACTGAAGAAGCCTACTGTGTAGGCGAAACGTTTCAAAATAAAGATACCTAACTGTTGCATATGTGTCTTACCTAACAATCTGTCGGTATTTTATACCATTTTAATGTTCATTCTGTCAGACACTGCAACACAAGGGTATCTTGGTACAGACCATCTACTTCGACAACCTCTACTAGTGAGAACGGCTGGGTTTGAGAAGGACCTGCCCTCCCAAATCAACCTACGTCTCACCTCCTGGCACTATATAAGGCCCGATTCTGTCACTTCAACTTCATATTGTTTCAGACAACGGAACAATGCTCTTCTCCAGACTGAGGGACTGACCACCTCAAAACTTTAAGGGTGATGGACTGATTACATCGTCTTCAAGTATCTTCTGCTTCTATCAACTTTTCTGTACTCGACTGAAGAAGCCTACTGTGTAGGCGAAACGTTTCAAAATAAAGATACCTAACTGTTGCATATGTGTCTTACCTAACAATCTGTCGGTATTTTATACCATTTTAATGTTCATTCAGTGTGCAAGTCAGCGTAACAGCTGTAACACTTCGTGATGTGTTGGAATCACTCGGCTTCAACGTAGTTTGGGTTGATGTGGAAGTATTGGATTGCCATTCCATCGGCATTGAAGAAGCGTTGGGTATTTTGGAAGTTTGTTCCACAGAGGCCCAAGGGTTCTGGTCTTCTATTGATGCCTTAAATTTTCGAGAGGCTGGGATGTGATAAGTTCGTCCAGTCGTTTGAGGAACTCAGTTTTCTTGGTTCTCAAAGCTGAGGAAGACGACTTGAACTCCTCGTTCGTTGAGAGTAGTTGTAGCATTAGTGGTGATTAGTTTTCCAGCTTCAATGCAGTCAGTGCAGACTACAATGAAAGCATCTTGGAGACAGAGAATCACAATAAATTTTACCTGCAAAGTGCCGCTAACGGCAGCTGCAAGTGCTAGTTTGGACAAGTAATTTACTATCCCACTTCTCGGTTTGATCTTCACACGATTTGAGTATTGCATCGTGGAGGACCATAGATAACATCGAATGCAGAAGTAAAAGGTTCCCTCCCCAGCGGGGATCGCAGGGATACGAGGTGTTCACGAGCCGCAACGAAGATTCCCTATTTATATGCTGTTGCCGGCTCAGGGTCGGGAGTCGCGAACGAATATATATATACGTACAGTATATATATATATATATATATATATATATATATATATATATTATATATATAATATATACATAAGAACATAAGAATGTAGGAACACTGCAGAAGGCCTACTGGCCCATACGAGGCAGGTCCCTTATCAAAACGACCTCTACCTAAAGCTAACCCAAGAAATAACTCCCGTACCCCATGACACCAATCAAACCCCATTATATATATTATATATATATATATATATATATATATATATATATATATATATATATATATTATATATAATATATATATATATATATATATATATATATATACGTGGGATTTATGGATTTGGAAAATGCATATGACAGGGTGGATAGGGGGGCAATGTGGCAGATGTTGCAAGTGTATGGTATAGGAGGTAGGTTACTGAAAGCAGAGAAGAGTTATTACGAGGATAGTGAGGCTCAGGTTAGAGTATGTAGGAGAGAGGGAGATTATTTCCCAGTAAAAGTAAGCCTTAGACAAGGATGTGTGATGTCACCGTGGTTGTTTAATATATTTGTGGAAATAAATGGTATAAAATACCGACACAATGGAAATATAAACACAAATGCAGTATAATGTGATCCTTTATTGACTACGTTTCGCCCACACAGTGGGCTTTTTCAAGTCACAAACAGAACTACCTGGGGTGGAAGGAACGCGAGTATTTATAGTCCGGTTCAGAACACTGTAGAAGGTCTGCTCACAAACTTATCCCTATCCCACATAAGAACACTGTAGAAGGTCTGCTCACAAACTTATCCCTATCCCACATAAGAACACTGTAGAAGGTCTGCTCACAAACTTATCCCTATCCCACATAAGAACACTGTAGAAGGTCTGCTCACAAACTTATCCAATCTCCTTTCCAAGCTACCCAAGTTTTTAGACTCTATAACCCCACTCGGTACATCATCAGATGCAGCATTCTTCACCTGACCTCAGCATTCTGAACCGGACTATAAATACTCGCGTTCCTTCCACCCCAGGTAGTTCTGTTTGTGACTTGAAAAAGCCCACTGTGTGGGCGAAACGTAGTCAATAAAGGATCACATTATACTGCATTTGTGTTTATATTTCAATATATTTGTAGATGGGGATGTAAGAGAAGTGAATGCGAGGGTCTATGCAAGGGGTGTGGAGTTAAAAGAAAGAATCTAACACGAAGTTAAATTTGTCACAGTTGCTCTTTGCTGATGACAAGGTGCTCTTGGGAGATTCTGAAGAGAAGTTGCAAAGGCTGGTGGATGAATTTGGTAGGGTATGTAAAAGAAGAAAATTGAAAGTGAATATAGGAAAGAGTAAGGTGATGAGGATAACAAAAAGATTAGGTGACGATAGACTGGATGTCAGATTGGAGGGAGAGAGTATGGAGGAGGTGAATGTATTCAGATATTTAGGAGTGGACGTGTCAGCAGATGAGTCCATGAAGGATGAGGGGAAAAAGGTGAGTGGTGCACTTAGGAGTGCGTGAAGACGAAGAACTGTGTCCATGGAAGCAAAGAAGGGAATGTATGTGAGTATAGTTATACCAACACGCCTATATGGGTGTGAAGCATGGGTGATGAATGTTGCAGCGGGGAGAAGGCTGGAGGCAGCGGACATGTCATGTCTGAGGGCAATGTGTGGTGTGAATATAATGCAGAGAATTCGTAGCTTGGAAATCAGGAGAATGTGCGGGATTACCAAAACTATTATCCAAAGGGCTGAGGAGGGGTTATTGAGATGGTCTGAACATGTAGAGAGAATGGAACTAAACAGAATGACTTCAAGAGTGTATAAATCTGTACTGGCGGGAAGGCGCGGTAGGGGTCAGCCTAGTAATGGTTGGAGCGAGGGGGTAAAGGAGGTTTTGTGTGCGAGGGGCTTGGACTTCAAGCAAGCGTGAGTGAGCGTATTTGATAGGAGTGAATGGAGGCAAATGGTTTTTAATACTGGACGTGCTGTTGGAGTGTGAACAAAGTAACATTTATGAAGGGATTCAGGGAAACCTGCAGGCCGGACTTGAGTCCTGGAGATTGGAAGTACAGTGCCTGCACTCTGAAGAAGGGGTGTTAATGTTACAGTTTTATAACTGTAGTGTAAAGCACCCTTCTGGCAAGACAGTGATGGAGTGAATGGTGATGAAAGTTTTTCTTTTTCTCGGGCCACCCTGCCTTGGTAGGAATCGCCGATGTGTTGATAAAAAATAATTATATATATATATATAAAATAATATATATATAAATATATATATATATATAATATATATATATATAATATATATATAATATATATAAATATATATATATTTTAAATAAAAATTTATAAAAATGTAATATATGTAACCTTGGTACCTACTTCTAGGTGAACAGGGCCAGGAGTTGAAAGTAAACATGCGTAACGTTTGCACCCGTGCCGGGGATAGAGCCACGGACACGGAGTATGTGAGCTAAGTGCGCTACCAATTAAGACACAGAAAAGGTCTGGTACTAGCTGCCTCACTGTATAAACATTTTATCACAATTTTCGATATTTCCATCACGTTAAAAATATTTTTCGTTAACTTCTTACATTTCCAGATCACTTTATACTATATGTGGCTTAAAATAACATGTGAACGAAAGAAATCCTGTTAAAAAATAAGACCCTAATAGAAATAATTCACTTTGATTTTATTGGGTTTTCCTGGGTAATTTACACACGTTACTATCTAAGACAACGACAGTCATCCAAAACTCTCCAAAATTGTACCTACATAAACTTATTTAGCAAAAAATAAATTGTGGGCATTTTAAGGAGCACCTACGTGGTCCAGTACACCAAGCAAATAAACTAGCGAGATCTCATGATACATTTCTTTTCCATTTTGGACGAATTCATAATATAAACAAATCCATGAAGTCTGCAACTCAATCATTATGCTAGAAACTTTAGAGTAACTGCAGAAACAAACGTTGTGTGATGGTGTTATGATCAAGTGCTGATATTGTTACAGGTTTTACCGCTACACACACAAACGTTGCGTGATGGTGTTATGATCAAGTGCTGATATTGTTACAGGTTTTACCGCTACACACACAAACGTTGTGTGATGGTGTTATGATCAAGTGCTGATATTGTTACAGGTTTTACCGCTACACACACAAGAGGATAAGTCATTTAAAATGCACTTACTTAAAGAAGGAATATTTCTTGAACTTCTCTCGGTAGATTGCTTGACGAGTCTCAAATTTGACACACTTCCTTCTGATGCTGTTTACTTCACTGGCCTTCAGTGGGGCGACATGCTGACGGACCAGGTCACATTGTTTTTTCAGTGATTCCCACTGCTCAGGTAGTTCCTGCAACACGGGGTTACTTCAGGTAATGGCTACGTACGATTATGTGTATGGTTGTAGCATTCAGATACAACACAGCAGTTGATAAATTAGACACATGTGCAACTCTTGGGTATCTTTATTGAGGAAACGTTTCGCCACACAGTGGCTTCATCAGTCCATACAAAGGAGAATCTTGAAGAACAGGAGGAGAATGAGGTAATCAGTCCCTCAACCTTGAGTCGATGTGGTCAGTCCATCAATCTTGAATAGATTGGTATTCTATTCAAGATTGATGGACTGACCACATCGACTCAAGGTTGAGGGACTGATTACCTCATTCTCCTCCTGTTCTTCAAGATTCTCCTTTGTATGGACTGATGAAGCCACTGTGTGGCGAAACGTTTCCTCAATAAAGATACCCAAGAGTTGCACATGTGTCTAATTTATCAACATGTCGGTTCTCTGAACCATTCATCCACAACACAGCAGTATTGTATGACAGTTTATTTAGGGTTGTTTGTTTACAGAGCTAATAGCTTGGATTTAATTATATAAAATAAGACAAAAAATGTAGAGCTATATTACTTATGTAAGCGGATTTTTCTGCAGTGTAAAAGAAAAATTATTGCTTATTTTTAGAATTACAAGAACTAACCTGGACACGATCATACAAAAATATTTTAATGATTATATTAATCTAATAATAAATAAATCAGCCGAACACACTTTTAAGTACCTGGAGTTTGAGATGCATAGTCTCTGGCAAGTCGTCACCGTACTGTTTACCAAAAGTAATGGTGGCCTTGATGGCTCAAACATTGCGTCCGTGGCGTGGATCCTGTCCCGCACAGCCACCAGGTGTCCCATGATGGAAACCAGAACGTCGTAGTCCCCGTTACCCAGGTCCTGAGCCACGCCCACCTCAGTCTCCTTGATAAATTTGTCCAACTCCGTCAAGCTAACAAACACCACAAAAATGTTTTAACATGTGAGCACCCAAAGAGAAAAAATGTAATAGATTAAAGGTGGTCATCATACAATGTACTTGGCCACTGGTAGTCATCATACAATGAAAGCTGTCAATGAAGGTCGTCATACAATGTCACCCGTCACTGGGTTCATTATATAAAGTAAAATGTCAATGCGGGTCGTTGTACAATGTAAAGAATGACTGGGGGTCATCATAGAATGCAATATCTCTGGAAGTTATCTGTGTAAACAGATATTGAGGCTCCAAACGCATTCCAAGAAGTCACTGCTGGTCTTTAAACTATGTAAGAGATCTTTAATGGCGGCCATACAATGTACGAGATCACTAGGGTCGTCATAGAATATAAATGATCACTGGGTGTCGTCAGTGAAGGCCAGAGATAGCTGGGCTCGTCAAACAATATAAATCACTGGGCTCATGAATCCCTGGAGTCATCACACAATGTAAAAGATCACGACTCACGAAATCGTAATGACACGAATGCAAACAAAACCATGGGAGGGGTTAGAACCCTCGATCAGAGACTCATGAAACTCCAGACCGACGCGCTAGCCCAGTGGCTAGCGCGTCGGTCTGGAGTTTTATGGCTCTCTTATCGCGGGATTTAACCCCGCCCGTGGTATGGTTTAAAAGATCACTGGAGTGTATTAATAGGGTTAGAAGAGCTGACTTGATCTCTCCTGTCTTACTTTGTATCTTAGTTGTATAGGATCTAAAAGTAATATTTAAAGTATTGTAATGTTAATGATAAGTGTTAGTTATTGATCTTGATCCAAAGAGTTGGAACTACTCTCACTTTCCTTGAATTGAAAATGATTGCTCTCCATTCCCTGTCTCTGTGTGACTACGAATTAAGCATACAGCGTCAGGGGAACAGGAAGCAATCAGATTCGATCCAAGGACGAAGAATGAGGGGAGACATGATCGAAGTGTATAAGTGGAAGATAGGTATAAATAAAGGGGATGTAAATAAGGTCTTGAGGATATCTCTCCAAGAGAGAACCCGCAGTAATGGATTTAAATTAGACAAGTGTAGATTCAGAAAGGACATAGGAAAGTATTGGTTTGGAAATAGGGTAGTTGATGAGTGGAACAGTCTACCTAGTTGGGTTATTGAGGCTAGGACTTTGGGTAGTTTCAAATTTAGGTTGGATAAATATATGAGTGGGAGGGGTTGGATTTGAGTGGGACTTGCAAATGAGTGGATAGAGTTATCAGACCTTATTTCTTGGGGAGCATTGAAAACTGGGTTAGGCAAATGTTTTGTTAGTGGGATGGATTGTAAAGAACCAACAGGCCTGCTGCAGTGTTCCTCCTTTCTTATGTTCTTATGAAAGTGAGGGCAGTTCCTGTTCTTTGGGTTAAGAAACCTTCACTAGCATCAATTCATCCTCACGAATGGTTTGTAACTTCAAGTAAACTATTTTAATTTATAATTTAGAATAGGTTCTTAAAGAATTGTTCGTTATGGTAAAAGAACTGATACCTTTTAGACCAAGTATAAATGTCAATATAAGTCTCTCTGCGAGACGCCTTGAAAATAGTCTCATGTTTCATGATAATAAACCGGGCGATGCCATAAGGTATATATAATGATAGTTTCTTTTAAGCTCAAACTTATGTATTAAAACAACCTAATAAGATATCATCAGATAGTTTGCATGACCATCATGCAGATAACAGACCTCGACTGAGATGAAATTGTGAATAGCCTGTTCGTACCTGTCTGTGACCTGACTGATGAGGTGTTGCTTGTACATGCGGCCCCACTTCTTAGTGTTCTCCAGAAGACTATGTTTAAATGGCCTAACGTCGAGGCGGAACCACTTATCGAATACAACTGTCGTCTCAATACCCTCCAGCTCAGTGTAAAGGGCCTCGTATTGGTCAATCTAAGAAAAAAGGTAAATTATAAAATGTTCACAGCAGCCAAATATCAAGCAATACTAACAACTTCGTTTTTACATATCAGAGTTTTGTAGAATAATTAGCTGTGCAATAAACGCCCTGGTATACTGTTGCTAATGTAATTGGTCGAGCATATTACAAATAAAACTATACTCGAGTAGTACATAAATGGTGTACAATACGAACAAGATGAAGAATTAGACACATATGCGACATCTGGGAATCTTTATTTGTAGACGTTTCACTATCCAGTGGCCTTATCAGTACAATACAAGGCTAATGTGAAGAATTATATACAAAAGATGAGGTTATCAGTCCCTCAGCCTTGTAGGTGGTGCGGTGCTCTTCACCAACTACGAGGCTGAGGGACTGATAACCTCATCTTTTGCATATATTTCTTCACATTATGGCCTTGTATTGTACTGATAAGGCCACTGGTTGGCGAAGCGTCTACAAATAAAGATACCCAGATGTTGCACACGTGTCTAATTCTTCAGTACTCGAGAATGTTACAGTGATATAAATAGGTGAATTTTCAAATCTATGTGAAAATCTTATAACGTCAACCAACCTGACACAAAAGCTGTTTGCTTTCAGTGTTAAACTCTTATGTTTCAAAAAATGTTAATATTGTTCTTTGTTGTTAGAAGTAGACTGACATTGAATCTTGAAAAAATCTGAAGAGGAATGAAAAACAGGCGCACCAATTTAACACCAATTTATCAATTTATTTAATATGAATAAACCACATCGGAAATTATATTAAAATATAAAGTAAAAATTCTATAACATATATGAGAATTTGTATTATGCAAATCTGTTGTCAACACTTAAACGTGATTCTAACATACATCGCACATATACTCGGCAAGCCTATAGTCCAGGTACCTTCTTTATAGTATGGAAATGCAGTGACGGGGTACTCTTAGGGCCATGATTCCCAGCCCCTCCCCACCTTCCAGCCTCTCCCAACCTTGCTGCAACTCCCCACCTTCCAGCCCCTCCCCACCTTCCAGCCTCTCCCAACCTTGCTGCAACTCCCCACCTTCCAGCCCCTCCCCACCTTCCAACCTCTCCCAACCTTGCTGCAACTCCCCACCTTCCAGCCCCTCAACACCTTCCAGCCTCTCCCAACCTTGCTGCAACTCCCTACCTTCCAGTCCCTCCCCACCTTCCAGCCTCTCCCAACCTTACTGCAACTCCCCACCTTCCAGTCCCTCCCCACCTTCCAGCCTCTCCCAACCTTACTGCAACTCCCCACCTTCCAGCCCCTCCCCACCTTCCAGCCTCTCCCAACCTTGCTGCAACTCCCCACTTTCCAGTCCCTCCTTACCTTCCAGCCTCTCCCAACCTTACTGCAACTCCCCACCTTTCAGTCCCTCCCCACCTTCCAGCCTCTCCCAACCTTGCTGCAACTCCCCAACTGCCTGACCCTCGAAACTTCGGCCTCTCCAAAACAGTGGGTGCTCAGGAGAAGCCAAAATGTCCCAAATTAATATAAAAATAAGTCCATGGCCCCAGTATCTCTCTTATGCCATGGGAATGTACTGGCAGCATACCATGGGAGAAATGATAAATGGTATGTAGTAATTATTTTAAAACAACTATTTTAATAAATTAACAAGTGCCAATTAGAATTAACGATTTTATTGATATAAATTTATTAAATAACTAAACACATGATGAATTACATTTGGTGATGATATGAGGCTTGATTCAATATTAGAGAAGCAATCAGATAACTGCAGCCTTTAACAATACCTGTTGTCTGAACTGCTGTAAGGAAGGTTGGGCCCCGTTGTCGCCCGAGGTGAGGAACTTGTCCAGCATTTCGCTACGTCGGTCTTTCCAGAGAGCCTGGTGCTGAAGAAACTGATCCCTGTGTTCTGATATTTTGGCGGCAGCCACCTGGAACCTTCCCAGTAGCGTCTCTTTTAGATCTATTATCTCCTCGTCCTTTTCTACGTCTGGCTATTATAAAGAAGCAAGCAAAAAATTATTATGCAATTTCTAAAGACCCCTTCTCAAAAAAAAAAAATCTAATTCTTTACGTTGTCATTGAGAAGTCCCTCTAAGCTCATAAAGGTTTTCCTCACTTGACAGTTCATGAATATATCCGGTAATTAATAAACCTCCCAGAAACTCTTTTTGCTGTATGTGACTGTTAGCTGAGGAAATTTAATAAATGTTGATTATTATAATATTCATAGACAACTACTAAACCTATTAGAGTCATACAATGTTTGGGGAATACGGAGTTTGATTTAAGGGAAGGAAACAAGGTACTTTCCTTGAAGAGGAATTGAGGATAATTTGTCTATTGTAATTTGTTTTAGATCAAATTTTTTTTCTTTTTTTTTTATGTAGATGGATGAAGAAGACACTAAAATATTTTTATAGATCTCTAAAGCAGAACGAAAGTAATTGTGTTTTGATATCTTGGAAGGTAACCTTTTAGTGATTGTTTATTTAAATCTGTTTCATCAGCTTTTCTTTTATATTTCACTCATAACATTAGAAGGCTTCATGCACTCAGCTTCAAATATTCAACACATGTGTGCTGTAAACAGAACAAGATTCTTGGCACAACTGGCATGTACAGGTGACCTGTGACAAAACTTGTGGAATCTGTGACGTACCATACGACGACTACGCTTTTATGTTTTATGTGCATCATACGTATCCAGGGTCCTGCATACCATCAATAAAAAGTTGTTGGCATGGTAGTTTATCATCTATCAAGGTGAGTACACCGTTCACGCACGGGGTAACTGCCAGTTTGTGCTAGAGGTTTGCCATCCAGGGAGAGAAGGAAGCCCCGGTGTGGGAAACTTGCGGCCAGGGCTTGTTTTGGAAATTCAGTAACTCACAAGCTTCAGACTGGTTAAAATCATACTAAAATTGTCTTTTGTATGGGAGTCTAAGAGTTGTAGCTTGAGGAAGTTCTCATACTTAGACTCTCTCTCTCTCTTGTCAAACCAACACGTATTATGGTATTTGTTAAACCGTCCATATATACTGTAAATACTTGTAAATAAGTTCGTTGGAGGGACTAAATGGTTATTTAAAAGCTAATATTTGGTGTATACACCATTCCGCATTCTCTTAATAGGTCAAGTGACCGCGCTTATGCTGGTAACTTCTACAGCCGAACTCAACAGACCAAAATAAAACTCATTCTTACCTTTTTGGAATTACTTCGATAACTTCTAAACCACTCTGCTGATTGGTTTCATATGTTCAAAAGAGTGCCTCCTAATCTGACGACGGCGGAAAATGAAATTCAAGTGTGTAGGTGAACATCTGTCAGTTTTATGTGTAGAATCATTCCCGTTAAACATCGTTAAATATATTGGAGCATTCCTCTTCTGAATAGCTTCAATATTTAACGGCTAATGCATTTTACAAACATGATAGTACCTATAGTTTTGTATGCAAGAAAATTTATTAATGTACTAAATTCGTTGGAATCCATGTGATACCTTTTCTGACCGTCTTCAAATTATCAGCCCTGGTGTGATTGTTGTCCAGGAACCGAAGTTCCTTCATGTTTTCGCTGAGCTGCACAAGTCCCAGTTCGTCATTTTTATTAAAATATAATGATACTGAATTTTCATTCAATAACTATAGAGTGACGCTCTGTCTCATCGGCTTCAAAACATTACTGCTGATGTAGTCTATAAGAAGGTTGATACTAAGTTTAGAATGTGAATGGACAAATTTAAAATTTTAACGAAAGTGTTAAAAAACTTGAAATCGTTTGATTCAGATCAATTACTGGAGAATGTTTTTTCTTATAGGCTTCAAACTTTAAAGATTGATGGGTTTTATTAAAAATAAAGCATGTTTTTTACTTTAAGTTATGTAAATTTTAAACTGTCAATTTGCTTAAATAAACTGGTTTTCAAACAATAGCTAGATTAGGTTAGGTTAGGTAAGGTTCGTCAGGAAACAGGACAAATGTTTCCTGACGCGGGTCTTAGTCAGATGATGACCCGCCGTTGGAGCTTTTGGTCATCTGACCGAGGCCTTCCGCTGGCTTACCGGTCCACCCCTTTAAAAATTATGGTCATTTATAACCAGTCTAATAGCTAGATAATGACCGTTCTGGGTCTTGATTCAAACACTTAATCGCTGGTGTATCTCAGTTGTAAATATATGTTTTTATTGAATTTGTGTCGTTTAGGAACCAGTTTGCCAATAACGAAGAAAAAAAATATAAAATTCTACTTATAAAACACAAAATTATTTTTTTCTTTAAGGATTGTAAAGAATTTTAAATAGAATATAAATGCAAAAGAAATAGAGAAATATTGAATACTCGCGTTTTTTCAAGAGTTTTTAATTTTCACGAACAGATCCGTAACAATGTTAGGCACTGTGCTCTAAGTTTCCAGTATTCTACAAATTTTCAATCCTGGAGCACAATAAACAGGTCCAGATTCGTGGAGCATTGTAACAAGGTGAAGTCTCGTGCAGCACTATAACAAGGTGAACATTCGTGAAGCACTATAATAAGGTGAAGGTTCGTGAAGCACTATAACAAGGTGAAGGTTCGTGAAGCACTGTAAAAAGGTGAAGGTTCGTGCAGCACTATAACAAGGTGAAGGTTCGTGGAGCACTATAACAAGGTGAAGGTTCGTGAAGTACTGTAATAAGGTGAAGGTTCGTGAAGCACTGTAATAAGGTGAAGGTTCGTGCAGCACTATAACAAGGTGAAGGTTCGTGGAGCACTATAACAAGGTGAAGGTTCGTGGAGCACTATAAAAAGGTGAAGGTTCGTGCAGCACTATAACAAGGTGAAGGTTCGTGGAGCACTATAACAAGGTGAAGGTTCGTGAAGCACTATAACAAGGTGAAGGTTCGTGAAGCACTATAACAAGGTGAAGGTTCGTGGAGCACTATAACAAGGTGAAGGTTCGTGAAGCACTATAACAAGGTGAAGGTTCGTGCAGCACTATAACAAGGTGAAGGTTCGTGAAGCGCCATAACAAGGTGAAGGTTCGTGAAGCACTATAATAAGGTGAAGGTTTGTGAAGCACTATAACAAGGTGAAGGTTCGTGGAGCACTATAACAAGGTGAAGGTTCGTGAAGCACTATAATAAGGTGAAGGTTCATGGAGCACTATAACAAGGTGAAGGTTCGTGGAGCACTATAACAAGGTGAAGGTTCGTGAAGCACTATAATAAGGTGAAGGTTCGTGAAGCACTATAACAAGGTGAAGGTTCGTGGAGCACTATAACAAGGTGAAGGTTCGTGAAGCACTATAACAAGGTAAAGGTTCGTGGAGCACTATAACAAGGTGAAGGTTCGTGGAGCGCAATAACAAGGTGAAGTCTCGTGGAGCGCAATAACAAGGTGAAGGTTCGTGCAGCACTATAACAAGGTGAAGTCTCGTGGAATACCTTACAAATATAGTGGCCATTTGCTCAGTATTAAAGAGATTCTTCACGAAAGTTTTTTCTCTATAATGACTTGAGAAAACTCTCTTGACGGCCTTCATAATGTCAACAATGGTGTTTCCCACTTACAAGATGGTTGGAATTATTCATGGAATTTCTAGGTGCAACTTTGCCACTTTTAATCTTTAAATGGTATAGAATTATTTTGCATTAAATACTGTAACTGGAGAATGCCACATCAAGAATGGGGCCTTGATGCTGGTGAGGGGCTCTTGATCTTAGGAACTGGACTTACCCTTTCCTTTCTTGGATCGAATTTGAATGTCTCCCATTCCCCAGACGCTCTAGAACCCCTTAAGGTTTAGCCTTTCCACTGATTAAATGAAAACATTTCTGAATGGCTGATATATCTTATGAAATGCATGAAACGTTCGTTAGGTTTAGTCTTTATAGATGTTTTGTTTGTATTTTGTGCAGGACCTGTGGAATGCATCATCTGGTCGCCTTTAAACTTTAGTGCCGAAACGTTTTCCTCAAAGCGAGCTTCTCCTTGATTTTAGATTATGAAGGTTTATAAGTGCCAGTTTTATTCAACAAATTGATTTCTGTGAAATAACAGAATATATCTCCTGGTCAGAAATGAGTCACAGTGTTTAATGTACGGGGTTATACTAGGTTTAAACTACATAACGTAAGTTTTATGTGTCCATAACACGCGTGTCCTCAAGACAATTGAAAAAAAAATTACATACACAAAGTCTAAAATTAAAATTGCATTCTTACTTATTTGCATATATAGATATTTATTTATTTATCTATTTATCTGCTGATCAATCAATTATCTAGAACAACTTGGATTGATTATGGCCTATGTAGGTTCTAGTTTGGCATTTTATGGAAGAAATTGGAAAAACTACTAATTATTTTAAGAACATTTCTGAACGCCACGACTAGCTTGCTTCAGTACTTCGTGGCTGATAATTAGATAATAGTACTTTTGAGCGATATTGGTCGCTCTGAGATAACAGTAGAATTCTTCAGTATGGCTTCAAGTGGAAGGTTTTAATTAGTTTTGAGTTGTATATGTCCTGAATTGTCATTGCTATTCAAGAGATTGGGATAGTTTCCATGTGGTGACTTGTGAATGCCTTTTCTGATTCCTTTCATTAGAAATTTATGCTACAGTTAGCATTATTGTCGAGGAGGTCCAAATTACTGTGATTATGCATTGTGGGATACATTTCTAGGATCGGACAGTGACCAAAATACATATAGTTGCAAGTTACGGGTGGCCAGGTCACTATATCATTAATTTTGAGTGACCAAGTCAAACGCACATTTACTTACCAGGTAGGTGTCCTGAACGTGTGTTGCGAGGCGCGGTACCAGGGTAGAGATGTGAAGGATCTCACTGACTAGTGACTCGGCCAGTGTTCGAAGCTCCTCTGGTGAGGGACGGATGTTCAGGTAGGTCTCCTGGAGCTCCAGTCGTGCTTCGAGCAGCGGGAACTGATTCACTCGGGATTCACAGTTATCCAGAAGATAGAAAAGGCTAGGAAGAGAGGAAATTACGAAAGTTGGAAGTAAGATACTTGAATGTCTCAGTTTCTAAGTCCACTTAAACACATGTGAAGTTTTTCTATGCATTTTTTCAGTATTATTATTATTATTATTGTTATTATTATTATTATTATTATTATTATTATTATTATTATTATTATTATTATTATTATTTTATTTTGCCTTTTTTAATTCTCTTTTTTAATAAATCTGAAATACGGTTTTATTAAGAAAAATTCTAACCAAAATTTACCATATATTGGTCTATTAAATGTTTCGTGGAACGTAGTCAGCTGTTCACCAGGACAGCGTCAGGATCAATGTTCAAACACCAAGGCATCGTCCAGAATCTTGGCGCTATTGTTTAACAGTGTTTGTTTTTTCTTTACTTCATTATAAATGGAAAAAAAATATTTAAAAGACTCAGTAATGTATCTCAGTAAAGAATTTCTAAGTGCAGTTTACTAACAAATAAGTAAATATTAACATCTACATCATAGACGGACATTGTGTTGTGATTCCATGAAAATAACATTTGAGCTGATAATTCATTATTCAGAGCAAGATTATCACAGCAGTCATCTCTATGTGTTTTTCTCCTCGATCATCACTACACATGCATATGGAAATAACAATAAATAAACGCGCGGTACTTGAGTTGACACCAATGTCTACCACACCAGCTGAACCATCAAGCTGGACAGTACCAGTCGTACACCAAACTACCAACTAATACAGAACTGTAATTATAAAAATAAATTTTGGTAAGTCTTTTCGGATTGGCGTAAGTTGTCATGACCATTAAAACATTCATATACGAATCTGTAAAGTACTAATTTTTTTCCGAGTCTACATATAAACTATTTAAGCCACAAGTATAAAAAGAAAACACGAGTATGATTCGTATGGCAACACAGCGGCTATCAAACAGCAGGTTGAAGGAGGATTGTTGGTGGTTGAAGGGCTGTTTGAGAGTAGTGGAGGGTTGTTTAAGAGTAGTGGAGGGTTGTTTGAGAGTAGTGGAGAGTTGTTTGAGAGTAGTGGAGGGTTGTATGAGAGTAGTGGAGGGTTGTTTGAGAGTAGTGGAGGGTTGTTTAAGAGAAGTGAGGATTGTTTGAGAGTAGTGGAGGGTTTTTAAAAGTAGTGGAGGGTTGTGTGAGAGTAGTGGAGGGTTGTTTGAGAGTAGTGGAGGGTTGTTTAATAGTCGAGGGTTGTATGAGAGTAGTGGAGGGTTGTATGAGAGTAGTGGAGGGTTGTTTGAGAGAAGTGATGGTTGTTTGAGTGTAGTGGAGGGCTGTTTGAGAGTAGTTTGAGGGTCGTTTGAGAGTAGTGGAGGGATGTTTAAGAGTAGTGGAGGATTGTTTAAGAGTAGTGGAGGGCTGTTTAAGAGTAAGTGGAGGGTTGTTTGAGAGAAGTGAGGGTTTGAGAGTAGTGGGGTTGTTTGAGTGTAGTGGAGGGTTGTTTGTGAGTAGTGGAGGGTTGTTTGAGAGTAGTGGAGAGTTGTTTAAGAGTAGTGGAGGGTTATTTAAGAGTAGTGGAGGGTTTGAGAGAAGTGGAGGGTTGTTTGAGAGTAGTGGGGAGGTTGTTTGACAGCAGCAGAAGGTTGTCTGAGAGTAGTAGGGGGTTGTCTAAGAGTAGTGGAGGGTTGTTTCAGAGTACTGGAGGGTTCTTTAAGAGAAGTGGAGGGTTCTTTGAGAGCACTGGAGGGTTGTTTAAGAGTACTGGAGGGTTGTTTTAGAGTAGTACGGGGTTGTTTCGGAGTAGTGAAGGGTTCTTTCAGAGTAGTGGAAGGATGCTTGAGAGTACTGGAGGGTTGTTTGAGAGTATTGGAGGATTGTCTGAGAGTAGTGGGCAGGTTGTTTCAGAGTAGTGGGGGGTTGTTTCAGAGATGTGGAGGGTTGTTTCAGAGTACTGGAGGGTTGTTTGAGAGTACTGAAGGGTTGTTTGAGAGTAGTGGAGGATTGTCTGGGAGTACTGGAGGGTTTGAGAGTACTAGAGGGTTGTTTGAGAGCACTGGAGGGTTGTTTGAGAGTAGTGGGGGTTGTTTGAGAGTAGTGGAGGGTTGTTTCAGAGTAGTGGAGGGTTGTTTCAGAGTACTGGAGGGTTGTTTGAGAGTACAGAAGGGTTGTTTGAGAGTAGTGGAGGACTGTCTGAGAGTACTGGTTGTTTGAGAGTACTGAAGGATTGTCTGAGAGTATTGCAGGGTTGTTTGAGAGTAGTGGAAGGTTGTCTGAGAGTACTGGAGGGTTGTCTGAGAGTAGTGGAGGGTTGTTTGAGAGTAGTGGAGGGTTATCTGAGAGTAGCGGGGGGTTGTTTAAGAATACTGGAGGGTTGTTTGAGAGTAGTGGAGAGTTGTCTGAGAATGCTGGAGGGTTGTTTGAGAGTAGTGGAGGGTTGTCTGAGAATGCTGGAGGGTTGTTTGAGAGTAGTGGAGGGTTGTCTGAGAGTAGTAGAGAGTTGTTCGAGAGTAGTGGAGGATTGTTTGAAAGTAGTGGGGGGTTGTTTGAGAGTAGCGGAGGGTTGTTTTTGAGTAGTGGAGGGTTGTTTGAAAGAAGTGGAGGCTTGCTTGAGAGTGTTTGAGGGTTGTTTGAGAAAAGTGGAGGGTTGACTGAGAGTAGTGGAGTGTTGTTTGAGAGCAGTGGAAGATTGTCTGAGAGTAGTAGAGGGTTGTTTGAGAGTAGTGGAGGGTTGTTTGAGAATACTGGAGGGTTGTCTGAGAGTACTGGAGGGTTTGCGAGTACTGTAGGGTTGTTTGATAGTAGTGGAGGGTTGTCTGGGGTTGTTTGAGAGTAGTGGAGGGTTGTTTGAGAGTAGTGGAGGGTTGTTTGAAAGTAGTGGAGGCTTGTTTGAGAGTGTTGGAGGGTTGTTTGAGAGTAGTGGAGGGTTGTCTGAGAGTAGTAGAGAGTTGTTTGAGAGTAGTGGAGGGTTGTTTGAAAGCAGTGGGGGGTTGTTTGAGAGTAGTGGAGGGGTGTTTGACAGTACTGAAGGGTTGTCTGAGAGTACTAGAGGGTTGTTTGAGAGTAGTGAAGGGCTGTCTGAGAGTAGTAGAGAGTTGTTTGAGAGTAGTGGAGGGTTATTTGACAATAGTGGGGGGTTGTTTGATAGTAGTGGAGGGTTGTTTGAGAGTAGTGGAGGGTTGTTTGAAAGTAGTGGAGGCTTATTTGAGAGTGTTGGAGGGTTGTTTGAGAGTAGTGGAGGGTTGTCTGAGTGTAGAGAGTTGTCTGAGAGTAGTGGAAGGTTGTTTGAGAGTAGTGTAGGGTTGTTTGAGAGTAGTGGAGGGTTGTTTGAGAGTAGTGGAGGGTTATCTGAGAGTAGTAGGAGTAGTTTGAGAGTAGTGGAGGGTTGTTTGAGAGTAGTGGACGGTTGTTTGTGAGTAGTGGAGGGTTATCTGAGAGTAGTAAGGGGTTGTTTGAGAGTACTGGAGGGTTGTTTGAGAGTAGTGGAGGTTGTTTGAGGGTACTGGAGGGTTGTTTGAGAGTACTGAAGGGTTGTCTGAGAGTACTGGAGGGTTGTCTGAGAGTAGTGGAGGGTTGTCTGAGAGTAGTGGAGGGTTGTTTGAAAGTAGTGGGGGGTTGTTTGAGAGTAGTGGAGGGTTGTTTGAAAGTAGTGGAGGCTTGTTTGAGAGTGCTGGAGGGTTGTTTGAGAGTAGTGAAGGGTTGTCTGAGAGTAGTGGAGCATTGTTTGAGAGTAGTGGAGGATTGTCTAAGAGTAGTAGAGGGTTGTTTGAGAGTAGTGGAGGGTTGTTTGAAAGTAATGTAGGGTTGTTTTGTAAGTAGTGCAGGCTTGTTTGAGAGTGTTGGAGTTTTGTTCTCTCAGTAGTAGTAACCAGTTACCAGTCTCAGTAGTAGTAACCAGTTACCAGTCTCAGTAGTAGTAACCAGTTACCAGTAACCGTCCGTTGACTCAACGATCAACCGTCTCTGCCTGAGTCACGGTCTTTCATATTGTGCTGACCTCAGGAGTATTCAAAGCCCCCCTCACATAGGGTACTGCAGTCGGCTAGTCAGTATTACGAGTGTAGCCAAGGAGATAGGTACGGCTGGCAGGGGCTCCCTCCACATAACAGCAATTATAAGTAATAACAGCCTACGGAGTATTTTCTTCCCTAATCCATGTATGAATAAAAAAAATAAATGTGGAAAGGGGGGAAAGGGGTTTTAAATTTTTAAAGGAAATTGGGGGTTTAGAAGGTTGGTTGGGGTGGGAAAAAGGGAAAAGGGGGTCAAAAATAAAAAATTGGGGAAAAAAACTTAAAAAAAATAAAAAAAGCCGTTTTAAAAAATTAACCACAACCTTCAGCCTGAAAACCTTTTTGCAGCCGTTTTAAAAGCTTCCGGGCTTATTTTCGTGGCTAATTTTTCAATCTCCGGGGGTTGACCCGGGTTTTTTGCAATTAAGCCAGTCAGTAACCCAACTGGGGAAGTGAACGCCAGTCCCCCTATCACCCAGACCTGCCCTTTTTCCATCCCAACTCTCCTCCGTGTTTTGTGCATCGTTACCCCCCCTTCCCAGTCACCCAAATTCCCTCGTGGGGTAAGCCACCCGCCCAACCCAGCTTCAAACCCCAACTGAGAAGAAAAAAAGCCACCCAGAAAAGAAGTAACCAAGTTTCCTCTAAAGTATTGTTTATATCGTTTTGGCCCCCTGTTGATCTAAGAGTGGTTTTTTTTAAACCTTTCCTGTGGCATAGAGTGGGTTATTAATTTCCCCTTTCGTGGGTAAAGGGGGGTGCGCGGCAGCCTCCCCCCCCCCCCCCACCACTCTCTCCCACCCCCCGGGTTTCCGGGAAAGACCCCCAGCGTCCCCCCCCATTCTCTCCACCACCACTTTTTCCCCCCCCCCACCACCATCCACCCATCTACCTGGGGTTGTTTGCCCCCTTTGTCCCGGGGCCCCTATACTTTTTTTTGGCTCAAAAAAATTGGCCCAAGAGTTTTGTAGTTTTGGGGCGCCAACGAAAAAACCCAAAATTATGTGATTTTCTTCGGGGAG